GTCGACGGATGCAAACTTATGAGTAGTACATTACAGATAAAATCCATTTCATTTGGAATCTTCGGTGACCACCCCCAGCGGGTGTTGGTGCGGTGACGGATGATCTCTTCGCCGAGCCTGGCAATCAATGCACCAAAGCTATCAATATTTCGACATACTGTTGGTAGTGTGAGAAAATTTGGGAGCACTGTGCTCCTCGGCTTTTCAGCATTGGTTGGCTTCACTTACAGGACGAAATCCCACAAAAATTTCGACATACTGCCAACCTAATTTATCGACTGCCAGTTTGAAAAGTCGCTATAAACAGAAGGTATGGAACCCAGTCTCATCACCATAATCTGACGCTCGTCGTTTTTGCGGCAACCATTAGAGAGTCCATACATTGTACACTTGTCAGTGTAGTCACGCTCATATGAATGCGAACCGAGGAAGTCTCCAGTTGATGTTGCTCCACACAAAGTGGGATGTTTTCGACGATGATGAGGCCATCCTGACGTTTTGATGTCGTAGAAGGTCCCGCCTGATGTGCTCACTGTGCTCTGATGTGTGTTTTCCACCGGATAGTTCAATGTTTGAACCAAATTGCTGTGGAAGAAGAGCGTTTCTCCGTTTCTGAAGGCAGCAAACTAGGTGTTAACTGTAATCGATTCTGATGAGACACAAGCACATGGAACACTTCTAGCAATAACACGGTTTCGCCTCCCAACGGTTTGGTGTGGACATTCCTAATGAATCACGTCGCTGGCGGTGTGTCAGCTTTGGTCCACATAATCAGACGGTAGCAGATAAATGCTTACTACAACGGAGCATGTTAGTCACTAAGTGCCTTGCATCCACTTTGTACCAGCTTATCCCAAGCGCCGGCTGTCAGGTTTTCACTTCCGTAGAAGACCAAGAACACGCCCTGTCTATGTTAGCGCGATAGTTCTTCATATGAAGGTCCAACTGTGGGATATTAAGAAGAACATTGCCTGTACACTGCAACCATCGCTCAACTCCCCGACATCTAATTTGGTCAATATATTGAAACCGGTGTAATTGAAACCAACGGTTGCTATCTGGCTTTCTCAACAAGTGAAGTCGTTTCCCAGTGGAATTTGAACCAAAGAACTAGGCTTCGATTTTAGCAGATGAAAGGAGATAGAAGAGTGACACGTTTTGTCACGTTGGGTTATCGCTTATACTTCACTACGGGGTGAAAAAAAGATACTTCGTTGAGCCACTGCGTTAGTCTTACATTGTTTAAAGACTGGAGGAAGGATCGCCTTCCGGTTGATAGGAACTGTGTATACAAAATAAGATACAACGACTGTGCGTAGGTTTTCTAGGCCAGATAGCCAGGGGATTGCACCCCAGGATCGGTGAGCATAAGCGTTCCATTAACAGATCACTGAGATACGCAGATGAACACCAGGCCTTAGTCAAAGATTCGGCAATGGCAGGGCATGCACTAGACACTGGACATGGGATAGATTCATAAAAAGTGGACATCCTGAGACGGGTTTAAGATTCACACCACTAATCAACAAACAGGCAAATCAGACTGAATACCCAGCACTGATCAAGTCACTAGTCATAAGGAATCTCACGGATTGGTTCCCTGACCGCCTTAAAACTCCATCAACCTACTTACTTACTCACTTGTCCTGACGAAGCCTTTGTGTCAAAAGTGAAACGTTGCCCAGCAGTAAATCCACCGATTGTTCACTAGACCTCTTTGAAAAAATCAAACCTCCTTGTTTAAGGCCTGAAATATCTCCCGATCACAGTTAAACTCAATACGCTGAACCGTTCTTCAATGTAAGCCATTTTTTGTTTTTCGTGCACCGTCGTTTCACTACAAATTTTAACCTTGAAGAATAGTACGAATTTTTCTCGCCCGAACACACAACTCATGGACATTTTGCCCTTCTTATCCATACTACTTGTAAGTATCACTGTGACCGCTGAAGATTTGGACCAGAAGTGCAGGATTGAACCGAATTCTTGGCCTAAGTGGAAGAAGATGTCCCTCAGTCAGACTGTCGTTTTCCTTCTAATAAGCAGATGGGAATTCGCCCTTGTGAGTTTCATTGGTTCATCTTTGCGTACGCTTACTCAAAGTGTAGATTTTGTTCCCGTTTCTTTTCCATATTAATTCGCACAAAAGCAAAATGACTAGTTCTTCTGATGAATGAGGGTGGGTCCATCTGTTATACACTTGTGAGTAAATTGTTGGTTGCCATTTTGAACTCATATCCTGTCAATCAAGCCTAATGGATTTTTATTTTGGTTTGCATCCAGCTCCTTTTTCCTCAGAACCTCGATTCGCCCACGGTTGACGATTTTGCAACATTCACCCCTGGTCTGTTAGTTTTCAGGTGCACACTCCAAGCGGCGAAGATGCACGAAAAACGCAGTGATTTGCTCACATTTGACCACTACAAGTTGATGCTCGAGTGTTTCACTGAGTTTGACTGGAAGAGAATGGCGGAATTTCAGTATGACTGAACACAAAAATGCACTGCTTGCTTTTTGGAGAGTGGACACTAGAGCAGAGATGACTGCTTCGGAACAGCCAATTGACTTCTATAAGTTCGGTTCAAATTCGGGGTTGAAACAAGATTTATGGAATTTTCATAACGGAGACTACTCACAAGGTTGCTGAAAACTTTTCGACAGCCCACGATCGGTTTCGTCCATCTTGGGGCTCATCAAGTGCGTGCAGTCCCCGAGGTTCCGTCAACCTTCTGTTCTACTTGTGCCCAAATTGGACTGTTTTCGAGAAATACACTCTTGTTCCATATGTGCCCATGAATTTTGTTCAACTGCTTTGGTTGGCTTCCATCCGGAATCATACACATTGGGGCTGCATTGACCAAGATAATGAGTAGTTTCCTTTATGAATATCGAATATCGTGTCAATCAAAACATGAGGTGGCCTGTGTGCAGCACATCCAGTTGTAGAATACCATAAACGAGAGATTCAGTTGAGTCTCTCGTGAAAACCAAACTGATTCGCAAATGAGTATATTTCTCGAAGATTCGTGTAATTTTTCCACTGTCTAATTTTGTCTAATTTCGTATCTCAAGTGTTTATTGGCAAATTAGTAAGTGTTCGCTTCTTCTTGGTATCGCCAAAAATGTTTTCACTCACTAGAAATTCCCGGATGGTAGAGAAATTCTCGTAAATTAATCGCCAATATCGGCAAACGGTTGCAAAACTCACAAGCTATACACATTTCGTAAAATTCTCGGTACACTTTTTTTTAATCAGGACACATACACCTGGCTAATCGCACATGATCGATTTCGCCATTTGACTAACCTGGTGTTGGTGGAGTGAGCTACTTACTCTCCGTACGTACGAAATGCAGTGCAACTTACGACATTACTTTTCTATTGCTCTAAAGATACATTCAGCATTGATTCCTCTGTTTTGTTGTCTTTCCTCAGACGCAAAGTTCTTCCTCGTTACCCGCTTGGCGCATCCACAATGGTCACTGCAGTATCTTGCTTGCCCCAGTGTTTGGTCGGCCATTTTTAGTAAAACATATAACATGGACTTCATTATTCAGTGATAATGGTTCCCTTTTGAATTTGGTCTTTCGCGGGAATCTATGGAGTGATATGAAACAGTAAGCACGAAGGAATGGCTACATGGTCTATTCGCCAACTGCAGCCTACAAATGAACGAAGAAACATGTAGGAAACTCTTCAGCCAAACTGAGTTGCATTTATCCGGTAGGGAAATTACCCTTGTTTCAATATCCAAGGCATATCATACTACTCACGGTGTAGTTTGGAACTTATTTACGGTCAAACTGACACTGGGGGATCTGATTCAATCAAGCCCTTTCTGGGGTATGTTCACACTTTGGAGATGATACATATTCTGGCCATCTTATCTGATACTGCAGGGCAGAGAGGCATGTAGATCGGAGCAATAATTTGGCTGTCTGTGCGCGCGCCTTAATCTGATAATCGTCTTGCCTCATGATTCAGCGGAGAATTAGTTGAGTGGTTTAATCATGCGCTTTGATGAAACCAGTCCGAGTGGCGCACAGCTTGCCAGCAATCCACAGGTGGTCGCTGTGCAAATTTCGGCTACAGGAAATGATAGTTGTTGGACGGCAGGGGAGAAGAAAGAGCGCCGACGCGCTGTGCAAAGATATTTGCTACTTTTAGTTCGTTTAATCAAATGGCAAATGTTGTGAGCAAACCAAATAAAGTGACTGCCCTTCTGAGACACATTAGTACGCATCTCAAAAAGTCGCCAGTCAAAGCCACCCCGGCATCCTAGTCCCCAAGCAGTGGAAAGGGGCAACACCTGTCCTGTTTTTTTATTGTCTGGGTTATCCATCCAACTGCACGGCTCTAGACGAGTCCAAAGCAGACACAAGGTGGGTTTGTGTAAAAGGTGTCTTAGAAAAGTTGGTAAACACGGTGATGAAGCACTGCTTGGTTCAAAGACCATTTCCTTGTAATCTTATAAGGATTGAGTCATTCCATCCGCAGACTACAAAAACGCGTCCATCGTAAGAACGTTATTGGGAGAAAACAGATCATTAGGGGAGTTTAGACCATCTAAGAAAGTCTTCTTTAACAGAGTGCGATTTATTCACGCTGCTGGTCAGCCGCCCGTGGTTGAATGCTTTAATTTTCAACGACCAGCTACAAGGTTGCGATTAAAAATTTCCATGGTGACCCTCAAGATACGCATTTCTAATACTTCTGAACAAGGATGAAACAGATATACGCTGCCTCCCGGTTTTCCGGCATAGAATAACCGCAGATGCAGGCCAAAGTCTCGAATAAATGTCTTTTCGTCTAACATCATTTGTTCCCAATACTGCTCCACTGCAAATAAATATGAGACGAAATCGCCAGCCTAGGAGAGGTCTACTGTCAGATACCGATCGGAAGAACCTGACATGCTTCGAGAAAACACCCAGCCTCTTCAAATGAACTTTTTTGTATTCCTATATATATATATATATATAATTTCGACGATTTAGGCTACACTACTCCAAAGTTTGAGGACGACATTGCTACACGTTTATTCTTTTTGAACTGACATAAAATACGAGTAATTTCTATCCTTGTAATGTACTACTCATAAGGTTGCTGAAAATCTGTCGAAAGCCCAAGACCGGTTTCACCCTTTTTGTCGCTCATCAGGTAGGCGCAGTTACCGGGTTTCCGTCAACTTCATGCTTTACTTGAACCCAAATTGAACTGTTTTCGAGAAATACGCTCATTCCCGATTCGTGTAACGTTTTACCCATAACTCTTTAACTTCAGAAATCTGGTATCCATTTACCAATACCTTCCTGGTCTTCTTCCCACCTGAAGTGAAGAAAACTGCAAAACTTCACTTGGATCATATTCAACAGGCCTCTTGCTAAACTCAAACATTCAAGGCAAACTCAACTACTCTCTGACTTTGAAAAGCACCTCATTCAAAGCTGACCAGTAATGAACCAACGGGTCTTTGAAAAGCGACGCTCAATGCCAACATTTAAACACCGTGAAATATGTTATACAAAAATGACAAAAACTTCTGCCCCAAAAATGTCAGAAGATTAAGTCCATTAGTGTAATGTTACAAAATTTGGAGTGAAAATACGCTAGTTCAGTTGACATTGTGTCAATCTGGTGATGACATATCAGACAATCAGGTGCATTTGAAATGTATGTTTATCGATCCAATCCATACCAGAAAAAGTCTCCACAAGGAGAAGGCATGTCATCATGGTAGCGATGCAAGCATCTCAGCTGCTGTCTCAACTATCACGTCTGAGATCTTTCGGAAAAAATTGGACGGCAAGTAGGTAGTCACCAGGCGGTACACGGCCTAATGAGTTGGATAAATGAAGAAGGAAGAGCCATTTATTTTTTTCTAGTATAAATGCATTGGGTGACTACCCGGTACTTCGCATACGGACATCAGTTCCCAGAAAAACGAAAATTATAGTAAAAGCAGATTCAGTGGAATTCGCTTTGGAAAGAGGCGAATCTACCAGCTGCCAGCACATCATCTGACTAACAAAGGTACTAAACCCTAGCCCGCCTGCACTACGAGGAATGAATACTAATCAGAAAAAATCCATAGAAATAGTTGGTTTAAAATGTGAAATAAACAAATAGTAGGTACTACGACGAATGCAGAATTTGTCAAACTGCGAACAGAACATGTATCGGGCATTGCCTACGTGTCAAGGAGACCAGTGAACATATTTTGATGTACATTCGTTTGCAAATCAATTTGGTTTTCACGAGAGACTCAACAGAATCTCTCGTTTATGATATTCTACAACTGAATATGCTGCACACAGGCCACCTCATGTTTCAGTTGGCACGACATTCGAGATATCGAAGTATATTTTCATAAAGGAAACTACTCAAAAGTTTGCTGAAAACTCTTTGACAGCCCATGGCCCGTTTCGCCCTTTTAGGGGCTCATCAGGTAGGCGCAGTCCTCGGCTTTCCGTCAACCTTATGTTTTACTTGAAACCAAAGTACATGAAATTAGCGAATATACACTCATTTTCGAACTAATTTGGCTCTTCAGCAACCTTATGAGTAGTTTCTTTTATGAAAATATTTTGATGCAATTTAGCTTGGATAATCGCTTGCCATTGCTAGAGAGTCCTACATGGTAACGTGTTTGGTCGACTAAACATTTCGTCGGTGACAGTTTTTTATTCGCCTTCAATATGTGATGTGCATTTTTACTCTAGGCCATCCCTGCTATAAAAAAACAATTTCCGTCCAGGCATTCCCGTTGTTGATTATCTCTGTTTCCAAAGATATGGTGCCCGCTACTAACTGGAAATCCAAAACTTTGAAATACGCACCGCTGATGCCTCTCAACAGGGGTAAAAACAGCATTAGAGTACCTCTAAAGTTCTCCCAAAAATACTTTTCAATAGTTGTCCATTATCGGGAAGTGAGTAGAGTTCGTGAGCGCTGCACCCGAGTTTATATTTCTTTGAGCGGATGCATTCATTACTATTATTGTTCACTTGCGCTCACCGTAAACCTCGTCGTTATTTGCACCGGCGGGACAAATTTCCGAACTTTTGTAAATAATCTGACAGCACGCGAACACAACACCTTCGAACAGACCTCATGATCTCGAGCGAGATTTCCGGTCAGTCGGATTCCCAGGGGAAAACCTGACTTGTCAATATTGCATATTCAGGAACGGAAACGGGGTCTGACAGATGACATTCCTGGAACGCCCACGTTTGACCACTGCCGTGTGCTAGTATTTGAGTTATCTGACTGACTGAAAAGGAGATTCGTCAGCAGTCAATGGTGAACAGTCGTTTGCGTAGGGGGTGCGGATCGCAGAAAAACTAGGAGAATATATTTTGTGGGGGTTCTGGTTGGTTTAAACCATGCACTGTCTGTTTTACCTGTAAGCTCCCAACGGGTTCTTGCATAACCAGCTTGCCAATACATGCTGAGGTGAGTATGTAGATCAAAGCGTTTATTCATTCTTAAAAAAATCAAACAATTACAACCAGAAGCTCCAAAACTCAGATACTTGTCTCATGTTGAACCCTAAAGTTAGACACTTCAAATAGTAGGCGTAAATCCGTCCACTGCAGTTGCATTGTAAAGTTGTATTAAACCGTGCACCCGTGAACTCTGTGATCTTGCATACATACCTCTGGACACGCTTCATGGTCAGACAGACTGGCCACCATAAGGGAAAAGATCAGGCACACGTTCTTGGGCTGGGGCTCCCTACCGTCTGACGTGGTTCTCCCGCTCTGCATAGCATATAGTAACATGGACGCTGAATTCGGCCTTCGTGGATTATACACTTGAAAATTATGGGTAGTTGGAGCAATCCTGGTTCCGGATGGTTAGTTTTTACGGAATACCATTCTTCTACCTGTTCACCATACCAGCGATATCCCCTGAACCGATTGGAACACAGTTGATGATCTCGCACACCTTCTGACCACAAATCAGCCGCCATCCATGGACACAACGATTAAAACAACAGAGGAGAAAAGAACAAAACCGAATATCCCACTAGGTGGATTATTGAATTATTGAGACTTCGGTTCCCACTAGAGTGGTGCTCACCCCTTTGTGAATTTTTTTCCGATTTCAGTCCAACTGAGTGAATGATATCAGACCAAAAGTCTAGCGACAGGTTGCGGGTGAGACTGTTACCTTTGGCGTTTTTGTTTTTCCGATAATACCCTGTATATCAGTGTTCACCATGGATCATCCTAAAAAACATTTTCACAACTCGAAAAGACAAAAGTCAAATGACGCGACTCACCTGCTAACTTAGTCAAGACGCTGCGATATTTTCTTGGTATGTTTTGTGATGATTCACATTTTCCGAAACCCGAGTGTGTTTTAGAAAACTGGCCACATTTGGATTGACATCCCCATTGTTGTTCCTCAAAATCAACGTGCCCGAACCGGTAGGACAAGAGACCAGGGCGATTTGAGTTGTCTTTGACAGGGTCAAATGCTGATCAGGAGGTTTTCCATACTTTGTAATGCCACCGTTGGGTGAGTAATTGAGGGCCTGTACCCCCGGGGGTCCAGTCACACCGGCACCGCTATCCACCCCGCTATCGCTTCCCCCACAGCTGTTGTTATTCCCAGTCGGTTGATTATGATTGAACAGTTCGTAGTGAGCAGCCGTGGGGTAGTTAACCTCGGATGAAAATGACACCATGGGATCGAGTAGCGTGTGGTCCGTTGTGGCAGTCCATTCTGGCAGACCATTCGGAGGTTGACAAGATGTCTGATACAAGTGTAGTTCAGAGCATGAACCAACGGGAAGAATGTGTACAGCATCGGGATAGCTACTTACTGGGGACATTGCGGTCCCCTTGTCCATTACAAACTCCAACTGATTGGACTCACCGTGACTCCGCGACACCATGGTGCCCACAGTCATTCCAGGTTGAAATGTTCCATTGTGACAACACTCAAGGCCACAGTCAGACAGTTTGTGCTTATACATTCGCTGTTTCTCTGACAACAGGGTGGCATCTTGGCTAGCGTAGCTAGGATCGTAATCTCTCACCGTGAGCGGACTGCCAAGTGGTGCATAGGAGCTGGGATAGTAGAATCCATTTGGAACACTATCTTGGCAGATCACAGTCGGACCCAAATAGCCGGAATACTGTCGACCGTTGTTTGACGCTTGTTCAGTTGTGTCCTTGCGGAACCGTACCCAGAATATTGCGGCTGTCAGACTTATGATGAGAGCCAAGCTGCAGACCATGATAAGCACGAGAATTATGGTGTTGCTCATGTTAGCACTGGTGAAAAACGCCAGACCGAAAATACCACCCACTGCTTCGCTTATATTCACATAGAATACGGCCGATGTGACCAGGGTGGGAACACCTCTGTCACGCAGCTCAACGTGGAGTACATACAGACCCGGCTCAGGTGGCGTATTTGATTTTGACTGTTTAAGGCTTTTGCTCTTTAGTAGACTACTGGATCGATTGGTCATTGAATTAACCTCATTGTTTGATGCAGCTTCATTATCTTCATCTCGAAGACCCCAGTAGGTTGTGAGATGACCCTCGGTCTCATCGAGCAAAAAATAATTAAAGCCATTCAAGAGGTCGGAGTTGTACTCTGTGTTCTGCCTTTCGTCGGGCTGTTTTTCATTATCTGGAACAGCCCAATGTGTTCCTGGCATGAGATGATAAGTAATGGACCCATTGGCACCTGAATCTGGATCCTTCCCGCGAATTGTGATAACCAATGTGTTGGGGGCTGTGTCAGCTGGAATAGTACTCAGTTTGTTCATCCAGTCCGATTCACCAATGAGTCCGTAAAGTAAACTACCGTTTCTTGGATAAATCAGCGTGGGCGGATTGTCATTCACGTCATCCACGTGGACTGTGATGCTCGCTGTCGTTGTTAGCTGAACGCTTTCTCCCTGATCGACTGCAATAATCGATAGTATGAACTGTGCGCTGTGCTCTCGATCGATTTCACCGGTCGTGACCAATTTCGACGAATCGATAATCCCGATTGGTTGATCCTGAAGTTTGACAACACCGACACCGTCTAGGGGCTCAGCATATCGGGAATGGGATTGCACAAGCGAAATATGTACAGTTCCATTACTTCCCAAGTCAGGGTCTTTGAATTTAATCGATACGGGTATTTCCGTTCCAACCGGAATTCCTTCGGTGATGTGAATTTCCGTTGGACCAGTGTAAACCGGCGGGTTATCATTCACATCTGTGATGAAAACTGTTAATCCAGTCGTGTTTGATTTGACATTGAACAATTTTCTATTCCTTTCCGGCGAGTCCGAGACTGAAGTCCCGCCCGATTGAGCGTCACCACCATCGGAAGCAGTGATGTGGAATTCGAGCTGATCTAAAGACTCACGGTCCATTCGAGCGGTGGTATAAATACTACCCGTTTTTGAATTTATCCGGAAAAATGAAAGCAATTCCGGTTTGTCTGAGGATAATTCATAGAACAGTTCCCCGCTTTGTGAGGAATCCGCGTCTGTGGCCTCCACATGACCGACCTCCGTTCCAACCAAGACGTCTTCTGCAACATAAAACTGATAATTTACACGACTGAACTGAGGCCAGTTGTCGTTTGTATCCATCAGTGGGATTTGGATCCACTGTTGTGTAGACCTTTTCGGATCTGCATCGTCCGTGCATTCGATCCGTACGGCCAGATGTCCTGTCTGACTAGCCTCCCGTTCGTAATCGAATGCACGAGAATTCACCAAACCGTACATGATATTCGAATATGGTGTGAGCTGGAAGTCATCCTGATGTTGTTTGGACAGATGGCATGAAACTTTCCCAGCAGAAACACTATCCACGTCAGTGACGGAAATAAGTTTGAGTAACTTTGGCTCAGCCTCATTTTCCATGAGGAGAGCTGATTTGCCAGCGGATGACCCCACAGCATTCTCATCAGTCTGTCCCACTTCGAACACCTCGATCGTCGGACTGTTATCGTTCACGTCCGTAACCAGTACAGTAAGAGTTGTAGTCGATGTCAGCCTTGGTGATCCTTGATCGGAGGCCTTGACAACCAAGAGGAGACGACGTTCCAGCTGACTTTCATAGTCCAGTGGTTGTACCACACGAAGTTCGCCGGTTTTAGGATTCAGGTTATATTTTGTGCTCAGTCGCTGTATCATGCTCTGATTCAAACCTGGGTACGTTGAAGCCCAGTCAACCGACAACAGTACCTCCCCGTTGGGCCCATCGTCGATATCTTGGACGGAAAACTTATGTATCATGCTCCCTACCGCAGTGCTTTCTGGGATAGTGATGATCGAACCTGTCGCCGACAAGTTGGTAAACATCGGAGCATTGTCGTTAGCATCCAATATATTCACCCGGATCAAAATTCTCGATGTTAGAGGGGGTGAGCCAGCATCTTCAGCGATTAACTGAAAATCACAGTAAGACCTTTGTTCTCTGTCCAAAGGTCTGTCTAACTGCAACTCCGGCACCTGCACAGATTGTTGTCCTGCGCCCAGTCGCGGTGGAAGAATCATCTCAAATGAGCAAAAAGTATCTGCAGTCGTTGAAATTCTGTTGCTTGATTTCTCAGTAACAGGTAATAGTCGATAATTCTGTACACCAAAACGCGGTGAATCTTTATCCGTTGCAGTCGGCAGTGTATGTCTACTGCCGACGGATGCTGACTCTGGGATGGAAATTTCCCAGACGTTTTCCTCCCGATCATCCAGGTTACTAGTTGAATATTCCGTCTGGCGGTGAGGGAATAAGGGAGCATTGTCATTTGCGTCAGCGACATAAATATTCACATTTACTGCTGTGGGAGTTGGCCGAGAATCAAACAAATAGGCCTCAAGTTCAATGTGACAAACGTCCGTTTCGCAGCATCCTAATGAACCACATATCGCATCACGATCCAATGCATCTTTCGTGAATAAATCACCGTTGTTGTCCAATCTGAAGAGGTGATCAGGTGTCAGCATCGCTCGCGTAAATTGGTGCTTCTTGTGTGAAGCACCAAGGATATTTCCAACAAAGTGGTCGGATGCTGTATTGTCAGGTAGCTGAAATTGTACTTGTAAATGCTGAGCTTCACCGGTGTGTCCTAGTTGTCTGGCATAAATTCCGCGCTTGGATAGACACTGCATGTAAACGAATAGATATTGGATAATTGTCCACCTAATGGATGGATAACGCTGATAGTTAGGCATATTCACAACCTGAGTAATGCTCATTCACATGATGTGCGAGACCACGACAACTGCCGCAAGTCCGGAGGAAACATTGGTCATCGCCTTCGAGCAAAGGAAATGCGAATATTTGGTGACCCAATCATGTGGCGGCCAGACATTGAGCGCTGATTGGTCAACGTGACTAAAGCTCACGCCCAGCCGATTGGTTCAATTGGGAGGTAATATAATGTTGCATGAGGACGTTGTTGAACTAGGAGGCTTTTCTCTTGACAGTCGATTGGAAGAAGAGATGAAGTTAATTTTATATGATGAAAATGCCAAACGTTTTATGAGGCGAAGTTGTGATAAAAAGAAAACCGAATTGTTTTTAGCGTAAGAGAAACCAAAGAATCCTAAGACAGTTTGTCAAATGTCGGGGACATTCATGCGCTTCTATTTTTAGCTGGTATAAAAAATGTGGTTAGAAAATTACTACGACCCCAAATCTGGGCCGATGAAATAGCCTTAAACGCAAGAGCAGTTTATTGTTCAGGCAACTCCTGAACAAATCATCGCTGCTTCCGTTAGATTCCCGTGAAGCTCTGTTGGTCCCGAAGAGTGCTGATAACGTAGCTAAACAAAAGCCACGCAAGATTATCTTGAAAATCGATAACGCGGTAAAACTTCACTCCCTCAATAGGTGGATTATTTTGTTTTGTCAGATGGTTTTCAAGAAATAAAGTGTGTACATGCAGTAACCACAGGTGCGGATTTTGATCATGGCCCCAAATATGGCAGGGGGGGTGAGAGGAATGTAGATTTGAGGACATTCATCTGGCATGGGGACAAGTCTATGGAATAAACATGGTTTCATAAACAACTTCTGCAGAGCCGGAAATAGTGATACCGTTGAATCGAACTTGATATTCATTTTGGTGCAAACGTCGCCCTGTCCGACGCTGATATATTATCGTGAGCATGCGTGTTTGTGAGTATGAGCAGGTGACCTGCGCGTTCCCACCCCGTCCGCCGAGCCCGCCCTAACCTGTTCTGCCGTGATTTCCGCGTGATCGCACAGCCAATCAGAATCACCAGAGTGGCCTCAGAATGGACGACCGCAAACCAAGTTGGGTCGATGGGGAAACCTACATGTGTTTGGGTCCCACCTGGGGTCTAGTTCTTCTGGTTTGGTTCATTTGATGGTCCCTCTTGAAGTCGTTTGAACCTTAGCGAATATACACTCATCTGAAAACTAATGTGGTTCTNGGGGCTCATCAGGTAGGCGCAGTCCCCGAGTTTCCGTCAACCTTATGTTCTACTTGAAACCAAATTGCACCAAATTAGCGAATATACACTCATCTGCAAACTAATTTGATTCTTTCGAGAGACACATCTGGAACCCAGCTGAATCTCTCGTTTATGATGTTCCAAAGAAGATGAGCCCCAAGAAGGGCGAAACCGATCGTTGGCTGTCGATGGATTTTCAGCAACCTTATGAGTAGTACATTACAAATATCGTTTGAATCTTCTTTCCATCTGTGTGGATGAGCTTATCCAAGACCGTTTTCCCTACGCTCGCCAGTTCCACACCCTCGATTCTATTCACGCTGTGATGCTTAGTATTGTCTACCGTGTCGGATATCTCAACGGATGTGGTGTGAATCACAGTCCCCGTCTTAAATCTTCCACATTCTCCAGATCTGTTTACGTCCCCTGTCTTCTGCATTCCTTGGTGGTAGTATGTATGTAGAATTTCGAACCCAAATCTTCGTTTCGACATTCAGGATTGTCAAATATACGCATCACTCAGTTCTAAAATCGGGAATTTCAACGGGGACTTGCTAGTTCCCGATGTCGACGTAAACTCACATTAAAAAGGGTTCGTACATGACACGAATAGATCCCTTGAAAGGCATCAGCCATCTCGAGCACGATAGCGTTGCAAATATTCACTGTCAGTGCCTACATTAAAAAGTGGGGATGAACCATCTGTCAAATACTTTAGGCTGAATCTGACTATCATTCAAGGTCATTCAAACAGCGGGTTACTGACATCTAATGACGATGATGCCAAAGCTAGGTAGCTTAGGTGCATTGCTTGGTTGTTAGTCTGTTTGCCGAGCTTGGCTGTTACACTGCAAACGTTTCATTAACAGTCGGGGTGACAATGTCAACCCGGTACTGGTAATATCACCTCGATTGGTGATAAACTGTTTGCAATTAAGCTGCCGAGCTCGGCAAACAGATTAACAAACAAACAGTTATTTAATCTCGAGATACCTTTCCATCATACTGTATGGATAAAATCCAGAATTGGCCTGATATGTACGCATTGGTTGAGGAGAAGCGAGTGTTTGAGTAAAGATTGAGTTTAGGATTACCAGTAATCTCCTGACGGACAAGGTTAGATCTTGCCCACCTCGGAGGTTCAAACCGAAGTTACGCATGGTGCTTAGTCTATGAAAATCTCTCCAAAGAAAGCACTTATTTGATAGGACTGTGGCTAAGCATTGACATACACATCACAAGGGCTGGCTCGGGACAGCCAAAACTGAAAATCCCGTTTGCTCACCAGACCGATTGCGTCTTTTAGGTTTACTGGAAAAAGTTCATGGGACAAATTGGCGAATATACACTCATTTGCAAACTAATCTGGCTTTTTCGAGAGACTCATCTGGAACACAGCTGAATCTCTGGTTTGTGATGTTTTCAGTTTGCAAGTGAGTGTATATTTGCTAATTTCGTGCAATTTGGTCTCAAGTAGAACATAGGGTTGACGGAAACCCGGAGACTGCGCCTACCTGATGCATCCCAAAGTGGGCGAAACCGGTCGTGGACTGTCGATGGATTTTCAGCAGCCTTATGAGTAGTACATTACAAGTATATTCATGGGACAAAATTTTGCCATCCGTTCTTTCAAGATCAGTGTGAAACAACAACGCAAATCTGGCAATGATGTGCAAATTTAATTGCGCGTTACTGGTGAATGTATGAAATGAGCAGAGTGGATTAATCGGGACAATGCATTATTTATTACCAGTAATAAACCACTTGATTACTATCATTCGCTCCATTCTTGGATCGATAGCGTCTATTTACGGTTCTCTCCAGCGCCAAATTATCAACCGATAACCTTCTTTTCTCAGGAAGGAATTTCAGTTCATTCCGTAGAGCACTCGTGGTTGAGTATATTCACTTGTATATTCACTTTTTACTTAACATATTTATTTTTATTCGATAGTGTCTTTGGGAGCAGACGATTAGGAGTGATGGGTTGATTTGTCAAGCTTGGGAGTAAAACTCAGCATAAAATGATACTACGCTGCAGAGTGAACGATCGGGCGACTAGTTTACTTTTAGTGGTACAATTACTTGCATTTCTGCTAAGCTGGTATCGTGTTGGGTGTACTCATACCTCAAAAATAAGTCTTAAGAACAAACAAATTTTCCTGCCTCGTCCATTCCGAGGTTGTTATCTTTAAAACGGGCGTTGTCATTCCCTGTTTATCCTGTCCACGGATTGGGGGATTCCTTGCAAAACCTCAAGATCTAGTGCCACAAACCCACTCTTCGAATCAGGACATTCACTTCAAAGAATCATACAGGTATAAGAAAGTTTCGTTGCAGTACTGAAGTCTATGTGTTTCGCTTGAGAAGACCTAAAACCCTCTTATGGGAACTACAGTTGGGAAGGTGTCCACAATCTCAAACGAGTTAGTTATCGCTTTCAGTTTTTTGCAAAATTAACACGCTATCCAGGTTCTACTGGCACGGAATCAATTAATTAAAACGCTCATACGTGGGCAACACCAGCAGGGTAGTCGGTTAACCTCATCTACTCCATCCAGGCCCGGTCACGAAAGACACTGAAAGCCGGAAAGCATACTATTCTAATTCTTTCTGAAGGCTATCTGGATTTTCATAAAGGAAACTACTCACAAGGTTGCTGAAAACTCTTCAACAAACCACGACCGGTTTCGCCCTTCTTGGGGCACTCCTCGAGTTTCCATCTACTACTTGATTGGATTCTTATTTGTCAAGGATGCTTGAAAGCTTACTAAGTTTCTCAAAACGAATTTGAGATTTTCAAACCACGGGTTGATTTATCGCTTGCTGTCTGTTGCCCGTTGTCCAGAGTTATCAAATTAACAATTCACTATCCTTCACATAGTTTGCGATGTACTGACAGCGTTTTGATTCACAGGCACGTGACATTCAGCAGGCAACAGGTAGGATATGTATCCCGTCTTAAGCGATTCTATAGGCCGCTGTAGAATGACCGCGGAGGCCTGAGGACTGATGAATCAAGAGACCGAATTCCGCATATTTGATTATCAGATTACGGACGTGGTCTGTCAGGTATCACAGTTGTCTACATATTTACAGGAAACAAAGATGTGGGCACAAGGTTTCATGGTGTGCTGATGTCAACCTGAACCAAACAAGCTACAAACTTGACATCTCTGTGAATTGGTGCCCTGTCTGTCCTTTGTCAAGTTTCCCTGTCTTATTGCGGGCCACCAAGAGTCCAGAAATGATGACAGTAATCTAGAAGATCCAGTAATCTAGAAGGCACTGACTCCCTGAGCGTGTCTCTAGCCAGCTTGCATTGGATTCTAATAAAATGCCGGGATTCCGTGGGAGAAAACATTCAAACAGCAAAAGATTCTGCAGTGTCATTCATGTCTGACAAACTTTACCAACAAACATCAAAGAAAGTTAACTCTCTCTTCACGTCAACAAAAGTGCCAAAGTGTGAACTGGACCAATCCTGACTAACCCGGTGTTCGCCCATTAAGCATTTATTCACCGGTGAACTCACGAAATTTCAGAGCTCTTAGTGGTTCCTTATCCACCACGGAGCCTTTTGCATTCCTCAAGGAATGTAGTACCTTTGAAATCCTGTTGGTGTTCGTTTTCAGGTTGGACAGCTGCTTACAGTGCATCTTACAAACTGCTAAAGTTGAGAATGTGTA